CTCCGGGAGGCTGAGATAAGAGAATCACAGGATTTTGGTTTGGGGGTTCTTTTTTTGGGGGGGGGTGTTGTTTTGTTTTGTTCTGTTTTTTTGAAACAGGGTCTCGCTATGTAGTTCGGGCTAGCCTTGAACTCCCTGTGTAGTCTAAGCTGTCCTCAAACTCACAGCAACCCTCTTACCTCAGCCTCCTGAGTGCTGGGGTGACAGGTGTGCACCACTATACCCCACCAAGAGGATCACAAATTTAAGCCCAAACTGGGCAATTTAGTGAGACCTTGTCTCAAAAACAAAAAAAATCCTGCTACTCAGAGAGCTTTTAGGCAACATAGAAATTACTACATAAATAAATCATACGGGATGTTATTAGACAATATGTGTGGTAGGGAAAAGAAAAGATACTAAAATAGGGTGAAGGGTAAAGGGAGAGGCTGGAAGGACTGTAACGTTTCAAGGTATGGTCAGGGTAGGTTTCACTGGGATTCCATTTGAGCACAGAGCTGAAGGCGAGAGTAGCCATGTGCGTATCTAGGGGAGCAAAGTGCAGGCCGAGGGAACAGCTCCACAAAGGCCCTATGCTTGGGGTGTGCCTGGCCAGTTTGAGGCACGGGGAGACCAGTGTAGCAGTAGATGAGTTCTGGTAGTGCAGCAGGAGGAGGGGCAGGTCTGGTAGGGCCTCCTAGAAACCTAACACAGTTGGCTGGGCGTGGTGGTGCACACCTGTAATCCCAGCACTTGGGAGGCTGAGGCAGGAGGACGGTTGTAAGTCTGAGATCAGCCTGGGCCAACAAGTGAGCTCAAGGCCAGCCTGAACTGCACAGTGAGACCCTGTCTCAAAAAGACAAGAACAAAAACAAAGACAAAAAACCTAACATACCTGCCCATAGCAGATCTTCAACAAATGATCTGCCAGGCATCTTTTATCACTGGATAGCATTTATCTGTTATTTATTATAACTGTGTGTGTGTATGTGTGTGTTGTTTATTCCATGGCCTTTGCAGTAGCTCTTCTACGTACATAAGGAGTGGGCATTAGGGATCAAAGTGAACCTTGCATTCCTACAACCGGAAGCAGGAAACTAATGTCCAACATCATGGCTGCTGAGTGATTGTACTAAGCATTTCCTTTTTTTATACAGGGTCTCGCTATGTAGGCCAGCTGGCCTTGAACTCACTATGCAGCCCAGGCTGTCCTTGAGCTCTTAGCCATTCTCCTGCCTCTTCCCCCTGATTATAGGTGTGGACCACCACCACACTGGGCAAAAGGAACAGCTTCAACCATAGCTTCCTTTCACCGTTCAGGCCAAGTGCCCCTCCATTATTCCTGGCAGGTGGCAATCGTACCACTGATTCAATGTCAAGTGGCTGTGGGTTTTGTGCCTAAGGGGTTTCCAGGACTGTAAAGCCCACATGGTTGCATTTGATAGGCGCTGGTTGAATGAAGGAATGAATAGCCCCCACCTCCAGTCAGTTTTCCATCGTCTCCAATATGTGGGCTTTCCAAGAACTCTGACCACAGAAATATCAGCCCCACCACAGAGGAAGGAGCAGAGGGGGAGATAGAGACTCGCAGGAGACTATCAACAGGATTTGGAGGGGTAGAAGGGAAGCCCTAGCGCAGGACGGGATATGCAGGATATGGCACCGTCTTGGCTCTTTTACGTCCAGTAAAATGAAACAGCAGATTATATAGCTTGGGCCTAACACAGCCCTGGGTTTCAACTCAGACCCTTAATTAATTCGATTGTCTGGCTCTATGTTGACACCATGCCAAGCAGTCCAAAGTTGGGACCTGGAGCTTTGGCTGGAAATAAAACTTCCCTCTGCTGAGCTCTCCCAGCTTCTGCTGGCTGGTTTGCAAGAAAGATTCACAGAGACAAATACATGGGCAAGTGAGGGAATGTTTCCAAAGAGACTGCCTCAAACATTCTCAAACATACATCCTACTGAATGGATCAGTTGAGTCACCTTCGTATAGGAAGAAAAGACATAGACTTTCTGAATAAGTAAAACTCAAAACGTAGATGCAAAACAATAGATGATAGGAAAGGGAAAGAAATTGCTCAAAAGAAGGAATGACTGGGATGAGGGAAAGAAGAAAAAAGAAAGAAGGAAGGCAAAATATAAATATATAGATGAATAGCTGCGATAACTGTATTGCTGAGGTCTGATGGTATATTGAAAGGACCAGTTAATGTTTAAAATTTTTTATGATCTGACCAATTCTGCATGCTTATATCTGGTAATCTGAGCAACTGATTTGAAGGTAACAATATGGAACTACCTGATTTGAAGGTAACAATGGAACTACCATGGTGAATTCCTACCATCTTGGCTAGTGAAATTCTGTATGATCTCTAATGTTTTATCTAATAATTATTTTCTTATTCTCTTTAATGATTTGAACAATCTTCCATTCTTACATCTGGTATTCTGAGCAAGGTAGTTGAAAATAACAATATGTAATGTAACAATCACTGTTAATTCATATTATTTTGTCTTGAAACCCTGTATCACTTTAAATGTTCTTGCTTTGGTTTGTTTATGTTTGTGATGCTGGCATGCTGCTATTGTTCTTTTTTTTTTTCTCATTTATTACTCTCTTTAAAATAAAATTAAAAAAAAAAAACTTGAAAAGACATAGACTGTCTCAGCCTAAAAAGGACTCAACACTCAACTTTGTGTGTGTGTGTGTGTGTGTGTGTGTGTGTGTGGTTTTGGGGATTGAACAAAGGGTCTTAGCACATCCTAGGCAAGGACTCTACCCCTGAGCTACATCCCCGACCCTTCAACCACATTTCTTTTATCATTATGTCCATAAATAGAAATCTGAGAAGCAAAGCTGGCTGCATTCCTTTGAATGGTACCATGTCACACTTAGAGCCATACGCGGCCTCACTTTGTTTTTGGAACGGAGGATTGAACCCAGGGCCTTCACATCGAGCTACAAGCTTAGCCCTTGTTACGTTAGTTGAAGACAAAGCTTGCAAAGTTGAACTTGAGTTTATGGTCCTCCTGCCTCAGGATTCAAGCTGTGCACCTGTGTTCTGGGATCAGCTTCAACTCATGTACGACTCTTCATCTAAGTTGCCACGTGTCCTCGCCTTTCCATTTTCTTCAGGCCTAGGTTTGGTGAAAGCATCCACTCATGCTAGGGAGACCTTCGTATGAGCTAGTGATCTTTTCACCTTGGCTACAAGTGTGTTCACGTAATACAGAAAGACACTGACTTTATTTGGAATGTAGTTTGTGAAAATATGTCCAGTTAAAATTTGCCTTATCATTTTCAGGTTTGATACCCAGAGAACGGACAAGGAATTATCAACCCATCTTTAAGACTTCTTTCCTCCTTTTATTTTGTTTTAAAAGAGTAGTGGGAGAAGAAATGGTTATTCTGGACTTTGTCTTGGCATACCTACCACTCAGCTAACTGGGGGAAATTGTCCACTATAGCTCACACTTACATCTCTCGTCACTTAAATACAAGAGGCTTTGACCTGTCTTGCTTTTATCATCCATTTTCTTTTTCCTTTTCCTTCTTTTTATTTATTTATTTAGTCTTTTTTGAGACAGGGTCTCGATATGCAGTTCAGGCTGGCCTTGAGCTCACTTTGTAACCCAGGCTAGTCTCAAACTCGCAACGATTCTCCTGCCTCAGCCTCCTGAGTACTGGGATTACAGGTGTGTGCCACCACACCCGGCCCTCTTCTTTCTTCCTTTACTCCTCCTCCTCCTCCTCCTCCTCTTCCTTCTTTTGGGGCAGGGAAGGTAGTGACATTGGTATTGCTAGACTTGAAATTCTGTGAGACTGTATTTCTTGTTTAGGCACAGTCAGTGTCTGTAGACGAGATGAGATGAATGAATGTATGAATGAATGGGGGCATTATTCTATTGATTCTGTGTGTGTGTGTGTGTGTGTGTGTGTGTGTGTGTGTTTGGTGGTTCTGGGGATTGAACCTTTGTACTAAACTACAGTCCAGCCCTTTATCTTTAAGATAGGGTCTCAATAAGTCACTAAGTTGCCGAGACTTGGTTTAAAGTTACAGTCCTCCTTGCTGGCGATATAGCTCAGTGGCACAAGTGCCTGCCTGGCAAGCATAAGGTTCTGAGTTTGATTTCCGGTACAGAAAAAAAAGACATCTAAAATTACAATCCTCCTGCCTCAGCCTCCCAGAGTGCTGGTATTACAAGTGGTGGGCCACTATGCCCAGTTTATGGATCGTTTATGGTTTAGAAAATCAACTACTGAGATTTGATATCACATTCTGCGCCTTGCATTGAGACCAGCATGATTCTCTCTTTCTTTTTTTTGAGACAGGGTCTCATTATGCAGTTCAGGTTGGCCTGGACTCACTTTGTAGCCCAGGCTGGTCTCAAACTTGCAGCAACGATCCTCCTGCCTCAGCCTCCAGAGTGCTGGGATGGTAGGCATGTGCCATCATGCCCGGCAGACCAGCATGATTCTCAATTTTCACTGAGCACTATCTCATCCAGAGAACCTGAGAAGGGATCCCTATCTCCTAGTTCTAGCCTAGTGGAGGAGCTACAAGTTATGTCTCTCCCTCTCTTTCTCTCTCTCTCCCTCTGTTTCTACCTCCATCTCTCTATCTCCCTGTCTCTGGGATTGACTGACCTGGGGCCTTTGCACTGAGTTGTGGTACGTCATGATTTTCCCTTCCAGTACCTTGAAATGTCTCTCACGATCAGGGCACTTTTCCCATCAAGGCTGGCAGGACCTCAGGCAGCCAGTGCCGACCAATGAGTTGGCACTGGCAATGAAACCTGTAGGTCATCCTTCTTCTAGGGGTGTTGAAAGTCAGTGAACTCTGGTTTAGGCCAGAGGAGCTGAGACTCCAGCAGGAACCTCACCACCTTTGTTGCTAGTCAGTGCTCCCCCATCCTCAAGGGTCTCGCAGGCGACATCTGCAGACAGCTGGTTTCGCATGGGTCCCCCAGCCGGTCGGGGAGGTCCACGATGAGTCATGACTCCAAGCCAGGCAAGGTCATTAAGAAAAGCTAAATTTATATTAAATTATCATAAAGTCCTAAAATACTGAACATAGTGGTTAAATAACTCCAGAAAGTCCAATCTCTCCAGTGAGTAACGTTAAAACCATTACACATGAGTGCAGGAGAATCACTTCCATTAGTTTAGGACAGAGAGATTGTTTTTTGTACAGAGTAAATCAGTGCTCAAATAGATATTTCCTCAAATATCTCCTTTCCACATTCTGAATAGGCCAAGTGCAATAAGAACCTTCCCCTTTTCCACCAAGAAAATGCCACTTTTTTACTTTCTTCTCCTTCCTGTGAATGTAAGGACTCAACCGCTTCTTTTCCTGCCTGTCAAGCGTGAAATGTCCCCATTTTGTCCTGGAAATGGCACCCCATCTTTCCCACTTGGTGCACTGTTTTGGGCCTGCTTGGCCCGGCCCATGTGGAGGTCCAGACTCGGGCCTGGCTATGGGAAGCAGGGAAGAGGGTTGGCATCTGTCTCTAGCAAACACAGAGCTGACCAGAAAAGATAAGATGTTGGTCTTTTTCACCTACAAGTCTGGCAGCTGCCTTCTCAATTCTAATAACCAAGGGTGATGTTTCGAGTCAGGAAAATTCCCCTAAAAACCCTCCCCTCCCTTCTCATCCCATTGTCCTCTCCTGCTCCTATTCCCTGGGGAGAAGAGAGGTCTGGGTCGGCCCTGGACGGGGAGGGCTTCGGCTGTGGTTCCTTTCACCTTTCTACGCCTTGCTCAGCCCTGTGTGTCTTCGTCTGGCCCTCTCCGCCGCAGGACTTTGGAGACTTCTAGCTCCGCAAGGCTATGTCAGAGAAAGTTACATCAAGCCCCCTGCGCAAGTGAAGAAGTGATAGGGAGAAATTTTAGGGCAGCAGAAAGCCTCAAACCCCCCGCTGCAAGCCCGAGACACGGGCTCTTGGCGTGAATGAGCATGAACCCAGGGGTGGCCTCTCAGCATGGAAAGTCAGTCAGCAGGGAAGAGAGCTGGAATCAAAATGTCACCACCTCAGTGAGCCACAAGCTCTCTGTCCCTGACCCTGAGCAACTGAGAAAGAACACAGGACGTTCTCTTCGGTCCCCAGGTGGCCCATGTCTCTACTTGCGCTTCCTGACCATTTATGGCAACTTCTAGTTCTTTGATGACTGTGATGGGATCTCTTCCCTCGAATCCCACAGCCTGGGGGAAGAATGTGGCAGAGACCTGAAGGTCACACTCAGCCCCTGAGGCCCAATCCTCCACGCCAGCCGCTGGCTACCTACCTGGTGACAGCCAAGATTTAGGAAAGGTACTGGCCAGCGGTGGCACCCAGGAGGACTCCGAATAGCTAGTAGCCCTGTGAGGGGCCCCAGTCATCTGCCAGAGAAGTCTCCAGACATCACAGCAGGAGGGAAAAGGGGGAGCCACACCCACCTCTCGCTGGCACCTGTAGCTGCAAGGCAGTGACACCTAGGGCTGGAAGACTGTCCACTGCCAGCAACGGACAAGATACCCCGGCCCCCCGAGTACTCCCAAGAGGTTTTTCATATGAGCAACACGTGAGACTGGAGGTTTCAAGGATGCCCAGGCCTGCTGGGCGTGCTCCTCCTGCTCTCAGCCTCTACCCAGCACCCCTCTCTCTACCCATGATCTGCCCAGGCCTTGGTGCAAGTCCTCAGAGAAGCCGCCATGCTAGCTGTGACGGGGAGCAGTCTTGCATCACCAGCTGCATTGGTGCTGTGGGGCAGGCCCTGCGTGGCCCGGGGAAGGGGAGGTGGAGCTCTGCACTAACAAGGAATTTTTACGGAGTCCAGTTTCAGGGCGCACAGGACGGATGCAAGAGCTGAGGTTCGTAGTAAAATCCAGGTCTCAATTCTCGCAAGGGCACCCTCGTTTCTCGTGCCCAGGTAGTCATGGAGTCAGCGGGAAAACAGCTCCCACGGAGGGGTGGGAGCGGGGATGGGGGTAGGAAGAGGAGGATGAGCACATGGAAAGGGGGTCTGCTGTATAAGCCGAGCACAAGGACCGGAAGTCCGCAGAGGAGAAGGAACAGGTAGGCAGGGAAGCGCCATGGGCGTTTAGACCTGGCTCTCTGAGGAGAGCTTTCGTTCGTGTTTCCAGCCTGTATCTGGAAGGGAGCCCCGTCTCTCTGGAGTGGCTGCAGTGTGAACGCTGCTACACTCGGATTGCTCTTCCTGCAGCAGCTGCTCCGTCTCTGTGTCATCCAGGGAGCCACAGCTGGCCTGGATGGACACCGTGTCTGTCTTCATGCACACATGATCCCGCAGAAGGCCCCCCCGGGAGCTGCGCAGCTGCTTCAGGTCATCCCACTCCGCATCATCCCCGGACAGGAGGCAGATGCCCTCGACAATCTTGATCTTCTCCTTGGTGTAGTTATGGTCGGGCCCACCCTAGGGTGAAGAGTGGAGATAGTCAGTCCTTTGGCTCTCTTCAAAGGATCTCACGATGCACTGGATGAGGTAAGTGCGGGCAGAAACCCCACAAACTAATGGGGAAATGAGATCAGACAGCTCACTTAAGGAGGGGGCAGCTCTAATGACATTACCATTAGCATACAGGGAGAAGGAAAACCAGGCTTCTGGTCCTGCATCAGCCACTCTTTGGCTATGTCACCTTGGGCAGATTACTTAATGTCTCAAAGACTCAGTCTCCAAATTTGCAGGGTAGGGAAAGTAGCAATATCCACGCCTCACAAGCAGTTGCTGTGAGGGTTCAATAAGGTCATCACTGGCATGTAATTGTTAGGGTGCTGGACATGGGACATAGGATGCAATAAAACATGCTAGCTTTTGTTACACTGTTAGTGTAGTTTAGTAATGGGATGTCATACTGGTTAATGTAAATAATTAAAATCAATTGGCAAAAGCAATGCAGGGAGCATTTATTTAGGACTTTGAATTACTTGATGTGCTAGTTTGCACTTAATGATCTCTTCTAATTTTGACTTTTTTTTTGTCTTTCTGAGACAGGGTTTTGCTATGCAGTTCAGGCTGGCCTTGAACGTACTTTGTAGCCGAGGCTGGCCTCAAACTCACAGTAATACTCTTGCCCCAGCCTCCCGAGTGCTGGGATTATAGGTATGAGCCACTACGCCTAGCTCTTCTAATTTTGTTAAGGAGAAAATTTGTGAGGGGAGATGGAAGGGCCCCAGAATATCCTCTTATTTGGGTTCTAAATGTCCATTCAAGGAGGTCCTGTACCTGCAACCTTTTTTGGTGATTAGACAAGATCTAGGACCATTCCCAAGCACCCTGGATCTTTCCAAGGATAGATGTGGGGAGCAGCAGAAGCTGGAGATTGATCATATGTGGGGGGCTGGAGCAAGGCCAGCCCCAAGAACACAGAGTGCCTGAGGTAAGCTATGTAAACAAGTGGCTCCAACCAGAGATCATGAGGTACCCAAGGCAAGCCAGGCAAACAAATTGTTAGGCAGAGGGGTTTTGCCCCTCATCAACCTTCCAAGTGTATAAATAAATGCACTGCAGTCATTAGGCAGTTCTTTTTCTCCCACCAGGAGAGGAGGCTCCACCTGACCTCAGCTTTCTGCATTCTGACTCTTGTCTTCATCCTCTACCATCCTTTTTCTGGGAATTTTGAAAACTGCACTGGATGAGGTAGACAGCCTGGATTTCTGCTCAGCATTCCCCTTTTATGATTTCCTCAGAGGATATCCTTACTCCTGGTTTCTGGAGGAAACCAATTATGCTGCCGGATCGAATGGACCATAACTATGGGTTTTGTCCACTTTACCTGCAACTGCTGATTTATGTTAGTAACAACTCAATTCCACAGACAGTTATTGGGCCCTACACTGAGCAGGAGACAGAGCTAGGTGCTTTCATATTGGCCCCTGCCCTTTGGAAGTGACAGTTGTCCCCAGCATGCAGAGGAAGACAGAGAAAGCACACAAGCACACGGGGAGACACAGGCACCCATCCCCCCAGCTGGCCCTCCAAGCTGCCATTAGTGTAAGGTAAGATGTAGGTCACTCAGAGTCCTCATCGCAGGGACACACTGGGTTAAGTCAGGGACAGATGGAGCACGCCGCACTAGCAATACTGGGGACAACACTCCCTGGACACACACACAGCAACAGGTACCTGACATCAAGAGGACATCAGAAGAGAAAGGGTGAGAGGCTATCAGAGGGGTGAAAGAGCTGCTGAGGAAGAAGCAGACAAGAAAAGAAAGATGTCACACAATTTTCCTTTCTTCGTCTTTCTTCTTTTGTTCCTGGTGGCGCTGGGGATGGAACCCAAGGCCTTGCACATGATAGGTACATACTCTACTGTTTTGTTTTGTTTTTTCCTAACTGATGATCTTCATCGTGGTTCTTGGGCTGGGAATATAGCTCAGCAGAATCACACCTGCCTGGCAAGTATGAGATCCCAAGTTCGATTTCCGGTACCAAAAAAAAAAAAAAAATCAACAGCACCTTTGACACTGGATCTTGACACTGTGGTTCTTTTCTGTGGCACCCAACTCTCTAGGACCCCAAGAATCTTCATGAGTCTTTCAAACACATTATGTGAAGAGGGATCTGCCATTCCCAGACCTGCATGCTACCCGTGCAGGCTCTTGTGAGCCAGAGTGGAAGTTTTTAAAACATGGAATTCATGGGTCCAGAAAGCACAAGATTGTTGGGTAAACTGCATTCATCATACATGAGAGCCCGGCAGGCGAGAGAAGCGTCACTGTGTGACACAGCTGGAGAAGGAGGTGACTATGGTTTTTGTAAGGATAACCCTGATGAAGCTTACAGGATTTTGGAAGAAAACATGGGTTATATCATACTAGGAAAACCTGAAATCCCACAGTATAGATCCTTTATGGAAAGGGGACTTTTATTTTTTCCTAGTACTGGAGACTGAACCCAGGGCTTCCTATGTGCTAGGGGAACCCTCTACTATTGAGCTGAATCCAGAGCCTTTTTTATTTTTATTTTTGAGACAGGTTCTTCCTAAATTGCCCAAGCTGGCCTCAAACTGGTGGTCCTCCTGCCTCAGCCTCCCAAGTAGCTGAGATTATAGATGTGCCACTGGAATTACTACACCTTGCTGAAGCAGGACTATTTTGTATGCCTAAACGTTCAGCAAATAATTTTCCACTACAGTGAGAAAGCAGTTAAAAAAAAAGAAGAGCATGTAAGTCTTCAGAACTCTTCAGAAAAGTCTCTTAAGACCCTGTGATAAGAGAAAGGGTAACAGAAAGCCAGCCATTCCAGCCACAGGTGCCACCAGCATGGGCCAGAGGTTAGAAAAGAGAGAGTCCAAGAGCTCTGGGTTTGTTGGGTGCAGCTAGGGGAGTCCATGGCATCACTGCAGGGGAATAGCAGTTCCAGAAGGGAAAGAACCTGTGATCCCAGAAAACCATCTCCTGACAGGGAGCTGCATACCCTCTGCTTTCTGAGCTCAGTCTTCTGGGATCTGCTCTCTCACCTTGTTTTCATTAGGGTTCTTCCAAGATTCTGTATTCCAGAAACCCAAATTACACTCAGTTCTTCTGTTTTCTCTAACTCCCTGAATGGTAGATGGGACTCCAGCTGCCCTTACTGATCCACTCAGGCATCTACTCCTACCCTCCCCAAACCTTAATTAATTTCCATTTTTACCTCTTTCTTATAGCACAGTTGATTGTACATGGCTGGTTTTGGGATTGCTTCGATTTTCACTTCTTGAGTGGAAGTTCGGTAGGAGGGGTTGCTGTAGGTCAGGTTGCCCATTCCTGGGTCAGTGAACTTGGATTTTTTGTGTCTTTAGGAGGAAAGATGAGAAGTTATTCAGATCTTTATGGGGCAACACCTGGGAAATTTACAAGCTGTATGTGGGCCAAGTTTCTGTGTAAATTCCAGTGATCCCGGTCTCCCGGTATTCAAACCTTTCAAAATCCCATTTCCTGGTGTATGGGCTAAATTTATGACCTGCTTCTAAGGAAAAAGTTATGCAAAAGAGACGGACGCTACATTAGGTTATAAAGAAACTGGCTTCCGTCTTGGATTACGTCTCTTCCCTCAGTTCCTCTCTTGCTATTGCTCTAGGGGCAGCAAGCGCTCATGTATAAATTGTCTGTGGAAATAAAGGCCCAGGAGGCAAGGATTTATGCTGCCAGCCAACAGCCAGGAAGGAACTGAATCCTGCCAACAATTATATGGCTGTGTTTGCAAGGGCACCCTTCCCCTGTCAGGCCTTCAGATGAGACCACAACCCAGGCTGGTACCCAGAGCCTGGGACAGACTTCATGGCACAGGTATCCAGCTAAGTTGCATCCAGGTTTCTGATCCCCATACACTGTGAGATCATAAATAGCTGTCATTTTGAGTGGCAACATTCCAGAGTTATTTGTTATGCTGACATACGTAACTAATACTCTGAGCTTTACAACCAAAAGAGATCTCTATATTTCAACCCTCCCTCTGTTACTTACTAGCTGAGATCTTGGTACACACAATCCAAACTTTCTGAGCCTCAGATTCCCACTTGTAAAGCAAGGAATAATTATAAGCTGTGTTACAAGGCTGTTGTGGCATGGATATATCCATTAAATGGTAAGTGAAATTATTATCATTATTATTATGAGCAGCAACATTCAGGCATTTTCGCTGTAGGCTATATTTAAAGCATTTGAGGGGGAATATAAAGGAAGAGACACACAAAAAGATCCTAAGTAGAAAATGACACATTCTATCTCCTCAGCATGACCACCACTGAGTAATGTTGTCAACCATGATCACAGTAAAGGGTGTGATTGTGTGAAGAGAAATTATTTCTTATCCCATTGGTTGGGCGTGGAGTAGACTAAGGAAGAAGCTAAGATGCTAACCGTCAGCTCTGCCTCCTACTTGTGTGATGCTGGGTAACATCCTCTGTCCCCTCAGCGTCCTAGTCTGGAATACAAACCCCAGGGGCTGCTTTGCTAGGATCACTAAAGGAAGGAAGTGCTTGGGCTGTGACTGGTGAAGAACAGGAAGAGTTGAGGTTGCCTCATGTTCCTTCTGCTGCTCCACCAGGGAGCCAGCCTTGAAATGAGGCTGCTTAGAAGTCAGTTCAGTGAACTGTGGTGCTTCGGGGTCCCAGATGTGCTAACAATGCCCAAAGAGTGGAGTTGAGGTTACCTGTAGAGCATCAAAGCCGCAATCACCACCAGAATCAGCAGAACACTAAGGAGCCCTCCGATGGCATAGCTGATATGAAGTCCTTCGCCTAGGGGAAAGAGAGACGCTAGGCAGGGAGCGCTGACCACCTTCTAGCTGGCACTGGTGTAAGTCAGGGATAGGAAGAGGTGGGGTTCTTTCTTTTTTTCTCACATTGAGTCTTTTTTTGGTTTTGTTCTGTCTCACTATGTAGTTCAGGCTGGCCTTGAACTCACTATGCAGCCCAGGTTGGCCTATAACTTGCTGCGATCCTCCTTCCTCATCTTCTCGAGTGCTAGGATTACAGGTGTGTGCTACCACAGCGGGATCTTATGTGGGGTCTCGCTGGGTTGCCTAGCCTGCCCCCAAACTCCTGGGGTCAAACAATGTCTGCCACAGCCTCTCCAGTAGCTAAGATTATAGGCTCGCATCACTATGCCAAACTCAAGGGTGTGGGTGTTGGGTCCTGCACCATCTGAGGCTAGCAAGGGACCTTCCACGCAGAGAAGTCATGGGAGGTAGGACAAGGAGGCTGAGAAGGAACCTGTCGCTCTGCCAGTATTTCAAATCCCACTTTCCCCATTTATTAGCTAAGTAACTTACAGCAAGGTACTACCAAGCCTGCATTACGTTTTCTCTTTAAATGTAATTAATAAATAGCTTACAGGGCTGGAAGAAATGAAATGAGTGTGCATATACATATAAACATTAGCATAACTTTAATTACAGTGTATTTTTTTAATTTGTTTGCTTGTTTTTTTTTTTTTTTTTTTTGAGACAGAGCTTTTCTATGTAGTTCAGGCTGATCTTGAGTTCACTATGGAGCCAAGGCTGGCCTCAAACTTGCAGTGACCTTCCTGCCTCAGCCTTTTGAATGTTGGACTAACAGATGTGTGCCGCCTCACCCGGCTTATTACAGTATATTGTTATAGCCATTCTATTTTATTATTTGTTACTACTACTAATCTCTTACTACTCTATAATCAAATTTTATCATAGGTATTGTCTATACAGGAAAAAACACAGTATCAGTAAGATTCAGTACTACCCAAGGCTTCGGGCATCCTGAGGTGGTTTTGGAACACATGCCCCCGGGTGAGGGGTAACTGTACTCACAGATACATGGCACACATATGGCAATTACGATTACAATCATTATTTCTATAGGTTTAGTCTAAGAAAAGATTCTATCGGCCCTGTGAGAGTCTGCACAAAGGCCATGAAAGACATCATCAGTAGAGACTTTAGAACCCTTCTATGCACTCTTCTGTGGCAGTGGGGCCTCAGGGCTTACCTGCAGCAGCCGGTACGGCCTCATTGGGGTGTGCACAGCGGCCCAGCCGGGCGTTCCTTTCAGAGCACCTGTGGGTACAGGAAACTGAAGTGTGAAGCTACTTGTACACCAAGAGCAGCTTGGGTGTGAGCTGGAAATCTGCAGAGGGAATACTAAGGACACCAACACAATGCAGGCTTTCTCTCTCTCTCTCTTTCCCTCATATGAAGGATTGGACCCAGGGCACACTGAGCTATATCCCTCCCTCCCTCTAGAGCAGGGCAGAAGGCTGTGAGGGGGGTTTTGGGGGTCTGAGAACACACGGGGGGCGGATAGCAGGGGCAGGGAGAGGATAGGGCCAGGAAATAGAGGAATCTGTGTAAGTCACTGTGTTCAACCTGCTACGTCACTTTTAGATGTATTTTCCACTGTGTACCATTTATTTATTTATTTGGGGTTTTTTTGGTACCAAGAATTGAACACATGACCTTGAGCTGCCAGGCAGGTGCTACACCACTGAGCTATATCCCCAGACCTATTTTTTAGTTTTTGAGACAAGATCTTGACATGTAGTTCAGGCTGGCCTTGAACTCACTATGTAGCCCAGATTGGCTTCAAACTCGTGGCAATCCTCCTGCCTCAGCCTCCTGAGTGCTGGGATTATAGGCGTGCACCACAATGCCCAGCTCCCCCATGCACCTTTGAAAAATGAGGAGTCTGTGAATGAGCTGGAAATCTGCAGAGAATACTAAGGACATCACTAATATGCCTGCTTGCTTTCTTCTCTCTCTTTTTCCCTAGTGCCAGGGATTAACACTGAGCTATATCCCTAGGCTTTGCCTTTCCTTCTTCTGTTGTTGTTTTTAAGACATGATCTCAATAAACTGCTAAAAGAAAGGCTGGTCTCAAACTTGTGATCCTCCTGCCTCAGCCTTCCAGAGTACTCGGATTACAGGCATGTGCTACCATGCTCAGCTTTAATACTAGGCCTTCTTAAATAACCAAGAGAAGCAGGAAGCAGCCAGGAGCAAGGTAAATCTGACTAGCTAAGGATAATTACAAGGTCCAAATGTCATGAGGTAAAAAAAAAAAAAAATTGTTTTTCTTCCTTCATGCTTCCACAAGGGAATATGCAAGTCACTGGAGAGAGTGCTGCAATAATTAGCTCAAAATGCTCAGAAGGCACCTTGTTTGTGGCATATTATGAGCAGGCAATTAAAGGCATCTCCTGGGGCTGGGGATTTAGCTCAGCGGCAAAGCGCCTGCCTGGCATGTGCAAGGTCGTGAGTTCGGTTCCTGGTACCGGAGAAAAACCAAAAAGAAAAAAAAAAAAAAAAAAAAAAAAAAGGCATCTCCTAAAAGCCTGGAGAAAAGCTATTTGCAAGAGCATATGAGACCGGGCTGCACGGCCCTTCACATAGAACTCAGACGGTAAGAAAAGCTCTCAGTGGGGTCTGTAGTTTTCTAAATTAAAGCTAGGGACTGGGGTATAGGTAGCTCAGTGATACAGCGCTCGCCTAGCATGTGCAAGACCCTGGGTTTGATCTCCAGCACTGCAAAACAAATGAAACAGAACAAATTTTAAAACTCCCCAAAACAAAAACAAAACCCTATTCAATTAATGACATATAGTATTTTATACTGGAGGGCCAGGGATATAACAGCAGCACAGTGCCTGCCTGGCAGGCTCGAGGTTCTGAGTTCGATTCCTGGTACAAAAAAAAAATTTATACTAGATTTGAGAACTTTTCTCTACTTAGTTAATAATGGTGTGTGTATGTGTGTTTGTGCTTGCACATGTGTGTCTTTGAGTGTGAGGGCTATCACATCCCTGAGGAAATCTTGTTCCAAGTTACAAAGCTACAGCCTGGAAACCACTGTGGGATAAGACCACGTACGCCTAGGACGTGACTCTTCCCAAGCAATTTCCTTCTGAAGTTGTTCTGAAGGCCTCTCGGCCTCCGAAGTAAAGACGGGCTTGTTTGCCACAGCCCAGCAGTCTAAAGGGTGAGGACCGGTGATGAACGACCGTGCTCTACCTCCTGGCTGCCGCGACTAAGGAGCGGGGACAAGTTTTCCGCTGCTGGTGGTGACTGGGATCCAAGGGCCCTCCACCCACGCTGAGCCCACGCACCTTCCTTCTACCTCCTCCAGAGCTGTGCGGGTCCTGCTGGTGGAAGAGCGAAAGGTGGGGGGCTGCGTGTTGGGTAGCGCGGGGCTGTTTTCACTCATGCTCGTAGCCCTGGGAGCGGGGGGCACCAGCACAGGTACTGGAGAGAAAAGAGGGTTGGCATGAGCCACAGGAGCCCCCAGCCTTTTCCTCTGGTCTAAGAGTAGCCGCCAGAGCACCTGTTGAGGCAATCTCTGAGGTGCCTTCATGCCAGGCACCCTCATTTAATACTGGGAATAGAAAGGATGTGGATTCACTATGAATGATTGTGGGTGAGATAGCTGGCCTATAAAGGTCAAGAAGAGAAAATAAAACACGGATGAACCCCACAGCAGGGCCTGGAATCAGGAGACTTGAATTCCTTTCTTTTTTTGTCTTTTTGAGATAGGGTCTCACTATGCAGTTCAGGCTGGCCTTGAGCTCACTTTGTAGCCCAGGCTGGTCTCGAACTGCAATGATCCTCCTGCCTCAGCCTTCCAGAGTACTCGGATTACAG